GTTGTCGGGCCGATGTCCACGGACAACTTTGCTATTAATGATGGATTCAGCCTGACAGCAATTACCGGGCGTTATAACATGAATAGCGAGAGATATGCAACCCTGCGATATCATGAAGTGGCTCACTGCTTTAACTATGGTTCACCTGTCCTGCCAAATATGCCCCCTCTCCATCCTGTCCTGCCAAATATGCCCCCTCTCCATGCTGTCCTGCCAAATATGCCCCCTCTCCATCCTGTCCTATCTGTTCCCTCTTTTCCCTGTCCTATCTGTCTCCTCTCTTCCCTGTCCTCTCTGTCCCTTCTCCATCCTGTCCTCTCTGTCCCCTCTCCATCCTGCCATACTTGTCCCCTCTCTACCCTGTTCTATCTGTCCCCTCTCCATCCTGTCCTCTCCGCCCCTTCTCCATCCTGTCCTTTCTGTCCCCTCTCTATCCTGTCCTCTCTGTCCCCTCTCTATCCTGTCCTCTCTGTCCCCACTCCATCCTGTCCTATCTGCCCCCTCTCTACCCTGTCCTACCTGTCCCCTCTCCATCCTGCTCTTTTTGTCCCCTCTCCATTCCTATCTGTCCCCTCTCCATCCTCCCATACCTGCCTTCTCTCCACCCTGTCATATCTGTCCCCTCTCCATCCTCCCATACCTGCCCCCTCTCCATTCTGTCATATCTGTCCCCTCTCCATTCTGTCATATCTGTCCCCTCTCCATCCTCCCATACCTGCCTCCTCTCCACCCTGTCATATCTGCCCCCTCTCCATTCTGTCATATCTGCCCCCCCCCCATTCTGTCATATCTGCCCCCTCTCCATTCTGTCATATCTGCCCCCTCTCCATTCTGTCATATCTGCCCCCTCTCCATTCTGTCATATCTGCCCCCTCTCCATTCTGTCATATCTGCCCCCTCTCCATTCTGTCATATCTGCCCCCTCTCCATTCTGTCATATCTGCCCCCTCTCCATTCTGTCATATCTGCCCCCTCTCCATTCTGTCATATCTGCCCCCTCTCCATTCTATCATATCTGCCCCTCTCCATTCTGTCATATCTGTCCCCTCTCCATCCTCCCATACCCGCCTCCTCTCCACCCTGTCATATCTGTCCCCTCTCCACCCTGTCATATCTGTCCCCTCTCCATCCTCCCATACCTGCCTCCTCTCCACCCTGTCATATCTGCCCCCTCTCCATTCTGTCATATCTGCCCCCTCTCCATTCTGTCATATCTGCCCCCTCTCCATTCTGTCATATCTGCCCCCTCTCCATTCTGTCATTTCTGTCCCCTCTCCATTCTGTCATATCTGTCCCCTCTCCATTCTGTCATATCTGCCCCCTCTCCATTCTGTCATATCTGTCCCCTCTCCATTCTGTCATATCTGTCCCCTCTCCATTCTGTCATATCTCTCCCCTCTCCCCTCTCCCCCTTCTCTCTGTATAATAACAGATTATAGTATTGTTGCCTCCTTACTCCTCTTGTATTCAAATCCTGCCTGCCTCCCTCGGATGACATGTGACATGTGGCTCAGTCACTGCCTGGTGGCTATTTCTTTTCCCGGTTCAGTCAGAGCTGTTCTTATACCTTAAAAATGCTACTGGTAATAAATATGGGCATTGGGGAGGTCCTAGTTACTCTCTCCAGGGGCTATTTGGTGTCTGTTTCCTAATGTATAGAAATAGCCTTAGAGGTGCTTTAAAAAAAACAGTATTACTTACTATTGTTATATTTCTCTTATTTTGTACTATATTATTAGTAATCATAGCGATGCATTTAATGGCCAGAATATTCCACAAGCAAACTACTGAGGTCTAAGATATCACTGTCACTGTCTCACTGAGCTCTCTCAGTCCACTGCCAGTGCCTGCACAACCCAGGCTGCAGCGTGAGAAAAGCCAGGGGGGCGCGGCTTGTGCGGGTAACCTCTTCCTGATTGGCCGACTGGCTTCTCCCTCTCTAGCTAAGCCCAGCCCCCTCCCCTAGGGAGGAGTCAGGATAATAGCAGCCTTCAGAGCCGCAAGGGGGGGAAATAGCTGGGTAGCCCAGGACTGCAGTCAGTTCACCATCAGCCTCCATGCCTGAGTACAACTGATTGCTGGGAGTGTGCAGACCACTTGGATTATACAGTCACTTGTGCTGCTTGGACCCCGGGCACCATGCTGTGGAAACTGGCTGATAATGTTAAATATGAGGAGGAATGCGAGGTGAGGACTGAGCTCTTCATGTCTAGAGGGGGAATGGGAGCAATTAGAGATGCAGCTGATGCACCTTTGCAAGGCTTTCATATGAATCTGTATAGGTGGGACATTGCTTGCAGTGCTTGCTTCCAATACAATGCTGTGCTTGCTTGCTTCCGCAGATCAGGGAACATTGGCTGCAAGAGCTTGCTAGATAGCATTAAGTCATTTGCTAGTTTTGTTGTGACATTATTATGTTCTTATAAATGATGCCGAGTTCTAAAAGTGATTTTATTTTTCTATCAGCCACAGATCTGTTTGCATGCAGCTTTTTGGCTTTCTTCAGACCAAATTGTTGTTTTATTTTCTGCGTTCAGATGGTTGACCTGCAATGTACTCCTGCAGGGATGGGAACGGTGTCATGCCTGTGCTGGCCACAAGCGGGCGCCCGAGTCCTGGAGTTCCCCATGCAAAAGTCATGCTGAGGAGCTAGAGAGGCTTCATGCTGCAGGACGCTGAAAGTAAAAATGTGCCTGTCACTCATTTTCACTAAGCTGACAGTAACTTTTAAAAACAAAATAAATAAAATGCTTTTATTTTAATGTATTTTATTTTTTATCATGCTAGCATAGGTCATGATGGCAAAATGCTACCTTTTTAATGAACTGCACAATGAAGACATTTATTAAATAGTAAATGGGCAGCATGAAGTTCATTTTTAAAAAGCACACCGAGGATTAGTTATTAGTAAAAAACAAATTGCAACGATTTTTTTTTTTATTAGTAAACAGAAAAGTGCAACACTGAATCCTTTTTATTATTAAATTTAAAAAAAGAGCAACATTTGATTTTTTTTTTCTTCTTCTTCTTCTTCTTCTTCTTCTTCTTCTTATATAGAGAAATGTAACACAGAATCCTATTTATTATTACATTAAAAGAGCAGCATTGAATGTATTATTACATTGAAAAATGCAACACTGAATCCTTTTATTACATTAAAAAAAGAGCAACATTGAGTTTATTTAAATAGAAAAATGCAACACTGAATCTTTATTATTATTATTATTATATAGAAAAAAAAGCAACATTGAATTGCTTGTTTGAAGTAACAAAGTGCCTAATGCAAGGACTGATTATTAAATGGTGAAGTGCTACATGGAACATTTGTATTTATTTATTTTTTTCCCTCCCCTGATGCAAAAATCTAATATTCTTTGCACATTATAGTGGCTTGCATTGGGTGGTGTAGGTGACTTGATCTGTATAATTTAATTGTATGGTTCCAGACCTTGTTGTGTGATCGCTCTGTACATACTTCGGTGATGGTATTTTCAAACACTTGACACCCTGTAAAATTCCGCTCAGTATTTTCTTTTTTCCAAAGTCCTTCATTTTTGTGGATTTGTCATGGTCTGCGTGGTGCGCTTGTCTTGGCTCCTGTCGATTAGTTTCAGTCATTTGAAATCAATAGGAGGTATTTAGTAGGGAGAGCTGGTCACACAGGACTCTGCTGGGCCGCCTTTTTGTCCTGAATTAACTAGCTCTGTTATTTTAATGACCGTAACGTTGTAATCTGCTAAAACCACAGATCAGACCAATTTAAAACATTTCGGCTCAGGTTGCGGCCCCCCCCCCCCCCACAAAAA